TTGCCAAAGGACCCCCCCCCCCCCCACCCTGGTAAATGAAATGCACTAGTTGAGGGAATTGCTGTGATTATTTCCTTGTCATTTGATGTGTCAAAGGTAATGTATTTTCATGGCCATCATCAAATTAATGACATACCTCTGGTTGCTGTTGTAATTATAATCTTCACTGCTGACAACGCAGGCTTTCGAGGTTCTACACAGCTCATATCAATTGAGTAACCAATGGCGACTAAATTGATATGAAAAACAATTGTGCTACTCGATGTTGTCCTTTCTTTTTCAGGAATTTACAAGCAGCCATTGGAGCCTACTATGACTTTGAGAGTCCTAATATCAGTGCGCCTTGCATGTCGCTTGTGAAAGACGTGACTATTGGTGAAGGCGAATCAGTTCCCCCTGACACACATTTCACAAAGACTTGGCGGATACAGAACACAGGTATAGCCCTAACGACCGTCATTTGTCTACCACATACAGTATATTTCTTTGGGCAACAGCTATAAATGTGTTGGAGACCATGTAACTTAAAAGAGGGTCTACCATTTTAGGTAGCTCGACTGGTTTTCTCCGTGGAATATCTAGGAGAGTACCACATGAGTAGAAGTTCAAGTTCAAGTACAGCTTTTTTGTCAAATGTGCTGTATGTGCAAGATATAGCACAGATGAAATTTCTTCCCTCTCAAGACAACATGCAACAAGAGGAGCCACTGCGGGTGCCCGCGCCGCCATCAAAAGAAAAGTTAACATAAAATGACAAAATAATACAAGACAACACATAAGACACAGACAATCGTCCAATCTGAACCACTTTCCTGCATATACTTTGTTGTTTGAAGCAGTTATAGATGAAAGAGGAGCGAATCAAAGTGTCCTTTTCACCAGTGGATCAAAGACGTCATGCTGAATGCATGCACACGTCTGCTACAAGCTAAGTTGAAAGCAACAAGAAGCTGTAGCATCCATTAACGAAAAAGAGATTGTCTCTCTTCTCCTGTCCCATGTAAATCTGCTTCAATTCCAAGCCGCGACTCCCAGTTCCACATACGCATCGACGTTCTGCGCTGACGCTCCTTTCTTCTCATCGGCCCATTACAGGCGCAAGACACAAGCACCTGAGGCTGTCCAGCAACGACAGCTAAATGTTGCCGACATTCCTCCCAATCAAAATCAGTGCTGGTACACGCGAGCTGCCGAGAAGGTGCAACCACCAAGCACAGATTCTTCTTCTTTGACGAATGTCGTGGCCAAAAATGCTGAAAACAGTCCACATCAGGTCCACATGACGTAACAATAACACCATGTGACAAAACAAAAGACAAAAACAACAACAACAAAAAAAAAACAACAAAAAAAAAACACACGGCTCTTGAAGAGCACTTGCCAACGGCTGCCTACTCGGGCGGGCGCCATCTTGAAAAAAAAAAAAAGACTAAAGTTTGGAGTGATGGATTCCGAAGTGTTAGCGAAAGACAAACAAATTTACTACTGAGTTACAGTAACCTATCATTCCAATAATTTGGGGTAAGACAGCACCTCCATAAATTCATTTTTTTCTTGATTTAACTCATCCCAAGTCCGTGTCAGTTCAATATAACGTATCTGCTTGTTGTACGTATCACTGTTTAAAGCTTATAAAATACATCTTTATTTATATAGCGCTTTCATAACAGCTGCAGCTGTAACAAAGCGTAAAATAACAAATAAATGAATACACAACACATAAGACACAGACAGTCATGCCATCAAAAGAAAAGTTAACATAAAATGACAAAATAATACAAGACAACACATAAGACACAGACAATCGTCCAATCTGAACCACTTTACTGCATACACTTTGTTGTTTGAAGCAGTTCTAGATGAAAGAGACGTCATGCTCAAAATGTGCACACGTCTGCTATAAGCTAAGTTTGAAAGTAAACACGAAGCTGTAGCGTCCATTGAGTAAAAAAGAGATTGGTTCGGTTCACTTCTCCCGTTCCATGTAAAATTTGTTTAAATTCCAAGCGGCGACTCTCAGTTCCAAACACACATCCGCGCTCCACGCCGACCCTCCTCTATCCTCATCCACAACTCCACCAGCCGTCCATCCAGCCACACCAACGTAGACCGTCTCCGCTGAACAAAACGGGGCTGTTAAAAATGCTGCCCATTACAGGTGCAAAAAAACACAAGCGCCCCGGGGCTGCCGAGCGGTGACTATCAAATAGTGCCGACATCCCACCCGTCGAAATCAAAAGCACTGCTTGCACATGCGTGCCGCCCTAAAGGCACACCCATCAAGCACAGACTCTTCTCCTTCGATGCCAGTTTGCATCACAGTTCGCCTCAGGTTTGATAAATCACGTTGCATGTGCCAAATGGATTATTTGCATGTGCCCCTCCAAGCACACACAAAATGAACGTGAAGTAATTTGGCATCTTTGCATTCACGATCCTGCGTAAATCCAGTAAGTGGATCAGATTCTGCATCTTTTTGCCTGAGCAAGCAAGTTGGTACCCCTTTTTGCACATGCAA